GTAATTATTTAATTAAAATAATGTAAAATAGGAAAAATAATTAGTAATTTTAATTAAATAACAAAGTTAATTTTCTAATTTTGAAAAAATTTATAAAATTAAATTTTATAAATTTAGAAAATAATTAGATTTTAAATTAATTAATTAATAATTAAGAAATTTTAATTACTTAAATAATAAATAATATAAAAATTGAAAAAATATTTATTAATTTAAAAAAAAAACTAACAATTTTTTTTTTATATTTCAAATAATTTTAAAATACTAATTAAATAATTATTAAGAAATAATTTGAAGTTAGATTTAGTTATTTATTAATAAAAATTAAGAAATTTTAATTTAAATAATGAGAATTACTTAAAATAATAATATTGATTATAATTTAAAAATTGAATAATTAAAAACTTTATGAAAATAAATTAAAATAATAATTAAATAATTATTTAGGAAATATTTTGAAATTGAGTTTAAATAATCATTAATGAAATAATTAATTTTTTTAATATTATAAATTTACTAAAAATTTTAATATTAAATATAATTTTAAAATATAAATTTTTTATTTTATTTTTAAGGATTTTTTTATGTCATTTTAAAAATAATATTTATTAAGATTTATTAATAAATAATAATTAAATATCTAATTATATTAAATAATTACTTTAAATACTTAAATATTTATTTAGATATTAATAAAAAAATATATCCAAATTTTTTACTATAATCATAAAAAATCCTTTTAAAGTATAATTATAAATTAATAAAATACATATGTTTTATATTATTTATAAATATTTATTAATTAAATATAGGAATTATCTAATAAATAATATTAATTTAATATATAATTAATATTCTAGAACTAATATTAATTTTAAATTAAGATATTATTATTTTTTGAATATATATATATATATATATATATATATATACATATAAGATTTTTCCTAAAAAATTAAATATAAAGGCGACGGTGGCTAGCGATCTGACCCCTGGAGCGACTAGAGAGGCCCCACGGTGTGTGGGTAATGATTGCGTGGCGGCGCAATGATTACGCCGCACACAATCATTGGGTATTCGAAACCATAGATATGTGGTTTCACTTGGCTACATAGGCGAGGCTCCACGGCCGTCCGATCCTCTATAGTATGGGATTGACGATAGTGATCAAGCCAAACCGAGAGTGAGGCTACGAGATCAGATCCTGCGTCAATCTGAATCACGGGACAAAGGTATCTTAACCATTGATCGAGAGATCAACGGTCTGGATCATCTCCCAGCGGATGAAGATGTATCCCGAAACCGTAAACTATTATTTTATCTCATTCTCTCAAATGACTTAACCCAACTCAATGAAATTTTAAATATGAATAGCATAAGTGAAGAGCATTCATGGGGGACCAATTTTGCGACCTAAAATGCTATGTACAAAAAGCTAAATTGCACTAAATGTAGTGACATAGTGTTTCGATTTTACTTCAATCTAATGAAAGGATTCAGAAGATCTTCATACGGTTAAACTTGTAGATTATCCTCGTACAATTCCTTAGTTGACCTCGATGCTTGAAATGCCTTAGATCAATGTGTAGGAAGCTTAAAAGTTTTCTTGGCTCGGTTCTTTAAAGATCTCACCACCGGCGAGGTCTTGGCAGTGGCTTTGCTTAGGGAAGATGGGGAAAGGTTAGATCAACTCTCACACAAAGTCTTACTGCTTGAGGAAGCTTAGGAAGAGAGAGCTTGCAAAAAGATCCAAGGAAAGCCCTAATTTCTCCTATTTATAGCCTTAGGGTTGTAACCAACAACCAATATAAAATCCTTGATCAAATTGGAGGAAACTAGGCTATTTTGATTGTGGCTTGCATTACAGATTGATTGGAATGAATTAAATGCTTTAAATAGGGTTAATTTGACCTAATTAGGTCAAATTTGACCAAGGGGGGGGGGGGTAATGTTGACCAAGTGAATGGTTGATCTGGTCAACCTAGTCAAATAGACCAAAGGGGGTGAAGGTATGAGTCCAAGAAGCCATGGAATAGATTTGAATTTGATTTGGGCTCAAATGGGCTAAATGGTTCGACCTAGGTTGACCTGGTCAACCATGTTGACCCAGGGCAAGGGTCTGGGCCAGGTTGACCTAGGGCAATGGTCTGGGCCCAATGGATTGAGTCTGACCCATTGAGTCCAGAAGAGGTGATAATTAAACTTGAGATGAAGTGGAAGAGAAATAAAACCAAATAAAGGAGGTTTGGGTCAACCTGGGTTGACTTGGTCAATCAAGTTGATCCAGGTCCTGGGTCAAGGCTCAACAAATTTGGTTTGACCCACTGGACTCAAGGAAAGTGGTCTTTGGGTCTAGCTTGATCAGTTTGACCAGGTAAAATTCCTTGACATAGGATTACGTGGAAAATAAGGTCAACAAACTCAACACAGTTATTCATTTTATATTCAAAACTTGTATGAAGTTCTCACATAATAGATAGTTATTAAATAGATTTGCGTACTACATGGAGTTTATTTATGTGATTTTATTTTCATTGTATCATGTGGAATTGCTTGCTCTTAGTTTTCATGTTCTGATGTTTGACCTTTGATACTCTATTTATATACACTACTAAAAAATGATATTTTTACAGTAACTCACACTAGCAATTTGAGAAGCTTTGTTGTAGTATGTTTAGGTAGCGATTTAATCTAACACTAAATGGTTTTAATAGTGGCAGTCTAAACCTTTATTTTAACTAACCTTTAATCATTTACCCCATTTCCCCTTTTGATCAAGCCAGCCTTAACAATTATGTGATTTCCTCCTCATGCAAGCTTCTCCTCATGTGGCTGCTTCCCCAATCCAGATCAAGCCTTATCTATATCATGAGCTTCTCCTAATGTGACTACTTCACCAAGCCTAATCTTCTTTCTTCACTACTTCTTTTATAGTTAGATTTAAATCTTCTTTGCGGGCCAACTTTATGTTGAGAAGCTTCCTCTAACAAAATATTATGCAACATATGGACAAAATAATACCATGAATATCATAAATAGACATCCGAAAGCTATCTTATGCTTGCTAAGCACTAATCAACTTACCTTTATTATCTTTTTAAGCTCAACAAATACAATGACAGGTAAACTTGACTCTTTTCCTAAAAAAATAATACTTTAAGTGGGTAGGCAATGCTTTTAGTTCAAGCATAGGTGCCTCTACTATAGATGGTTTCAAAGGCTTCCCTTGAGATGATGTATCTAATACATTATATATCTCTCTAAACATCTTAAGGGATTCACTAGTTACATGGATGGAATCTTCATCTACCTCTCCTAAATCATCCTCACTCAATGGTAACTAAATATGAATATCACTCAACAACTTATCCATAATATCCTCCACACAAGCTTCCACTAAATCCACTCTACTATAATTCTCAATATGATCCTTAGGAAACCTCATAGATTCTAGGACATTGAAGGTAACTTCTTGATCCTGAACCCTCATGGCTAATTCTCCCTTTTGAACATTAATCATAGCTCTACCTATGGCTAAGCCATGTCTACCCAAAATTATAGGTATCTCCATGTCTTTTTGGAATATGAAGTCCACAAGAAAAATAAACTTATCGATCTTGACTAACATATATTTTATTACCCCCTTTGGATAGGTAAATTAATGGTCAATTAATTGCATGGTAATAATGGTAGGTTGGACTTCTCTTAGATCTAATATTTTAAATATGGACAAGAGCATGAGATTGATGCTAGCACATAAGTTATATAGCACTCTTCCACAAAATTTATCTCCAATAGCCATAGGGATGGTAAGATACTTGAGTCCTTAAGCTTTTGTTGGTTCTTCTTTTGGATGATAAAGCTACATTCCTTAGTAACGACTACTATTTCAAAGTCTCCAAATTTTCTCTTTTTACTCAAGTTATTTTTCATGAATTTGACTTATGTAGGCATCTTCTTTAGGGTTTTGGCAAATGATATATTAATTGTTAACTTTTTAAATAGCTTTAAGAATATAAAGAACTACTTATCTAAATTTTGCTTTAATAATCTCTAAGGAAAATATGGTGGTGGTCTCTCAACAACCTTTCTAACTAGTTTTTCTATTACCTTAGTGTGTTAAGATTGTTCTTCAGACTTTGTGGGTTATGTAGGTGCTTCCCCAAGAATTTCTTCTATATGCTTCTCCTATTTTCTAACCACTTCATGTAACTCTTTTTTACACCTTAATTGAATAGCCTTGCAATATTTCTTACATTTTTCTTTAAGATTTAGTTTTTTATTACTAGGCAAGGTTCATTAGGGTCTACTATTCAAAGAGCTAGCTAACTTCCCAAACTAATATTTAATATTTCTTATTGTAGTAATTTGATTTTGTAATTGAGAGCCTATTTGTAAAACTAAATATTCCAAAAAGTTTTTTTTTTTAATTTTATGTTTGATTATTTGAGTTAAAAAGCTTGGTGGATAAGAAGGCTTAGGTTTCCTTAGTTTTGAGGACATGGGTTCAAATTTCCTACTTGATTTGGTTGGCTGCACTTCTATTTATTACCACCATTTTGATTATTACTCCTATTAAAATTAGGGTAATTTTATCAACCTGGGTTATAAGTATTAGAGAAAGGGTTATTAAGTCTATTAATGATAACATTTAATGATTCAATCCCATATGCATTTTGGCCACTAGAGGATCCAAACATATTTTCTTCTACTAGTAAATGTGTGCTCTTAGCTGAACTAACTCTAATGTTATTGAGCTTTCCAGATATATCAGCTAGTTGTGCAATTAAAATTGATAAGGCATTCAATACATTCACTCTAACTACCTTCCTAGGGCCTTTTAGACAAGCATTGGAATTATTGGTTGTTATTTCTTCAATCAAAGCTTAAGCTTCATCGAAGGGTTCAAACACAAAGATCCTGTAATAGCTGCATATTTTAATGGTTCTAAGAGAGCCTATAAGATTTTTATAGAATTTTGAATAATAAGCCAATTGGGTAATGCATGGTGGGGACATTTCATAAGTAGTTCTTTGAATCTCTTCAAAGTTTCATAATGGATTCTCCATCTAATAAGGTAAATAAGGTAATATAATTTTTAAGTTTTCAAATTTTAGATAGGTGAAAAACTTGGCTTAAAATTTGTGAGCTAAATCATTATTCCATGTTGTGAATGAGGATGGGGGCAAAGAGTTGAACCATATCTTAGCTTTATCTCTTAATATGAAAGGGAACAACCTAAGTCTAACGACATAATTTGATGCTATGTTATATTGTAATGTAGTATATATCTCCAAAAAACTAGCTATAAGTAGGTTGGGATCTTTTATATGGGTTTATCAAAACTGAGAATTTTATACTATTTGAATTATCACTAGTTTATCTCAAAGTTGTTTACCATAATATTTGGTATATTGATGCATTGGTGAATACCCTTAACCATTGTATTAACATATTCTCTAGGTGGTATAGGTTGATCATTTTCCTGAACTCATTCAGCCATTTTAAATTCTTTATACTTTTTTTTTAGATTTTCTAATTTTTTAAAGTGTTCTTTTAATTTTTGAATAAAACCATATTTTGTCTTGATCATTCCTACTATGCATGAAATAATTATATACACAACATGAAATTGTTATGTAAAACACAATTGAATAATTAAATGCAATAATACTAACTTTCAATATAATTAAATAATAGTAGCAATACAAAGAAAGCAAAATACAAATAAGGACAAGATTAAACAGGAAATCTATTTAGCAATATAAAGTTTGAGAAAGGATAATTAACTATAATCCCTAGAAACGTCACCAACTATGATTTACTACATTATGGTGTGTTGTGCAATAGTATACGTGTCATGTCAAGTAATAAAATAAAAAAAGAGTATCATTTCCATGAGGATTGGAATTATCCTAAGGTTACTCTTGCACTGTTTATAAGAACTACTTAATTTATCATATCTATAGAATATAATGGGTGATGCAATTGAAAGTTAAAAATTACAAATTCAAGAAACATATTATATATTAAAAATACTCTGAGCATATAATATTTAAAAATAAATGTTTGTAAAAGATAGTTTTTTCCTATTGTTGTTGGAAATCTGAGTATAAGTACACCTTATCTTTGTCGAGATTACTAGAATATTAGCTAAGATTTATCTCAACTATAGTTTTAATATCTAAGTTAAAATCACTTAATTCTTCTTATACTCCTCCATCAAGTCTATAGAACATAATATATTTTAAGTTCATGCAAAACCTCTACACAAACTAAATTAAGTAGGAGGACTTAAAAAGAAAATTAAGTAGTTCATAAAATCATAATCTAATCTAAGGTAATGCTTGGTTATCAAATTATCATAAGCCTAGAGACAAACTTCTAGCTTGACATGGAATTTAAATTAAACACAATAAGCTTCATTTTAAAATATAAAGTAAAAGTATAATAGAATAAGCATGATAGAAATCACCCAAAAATCTTTGACAGTGCATATGCAAACTCCTTACAATCCTTCCTCCTCTCACTAGACTTGTGCTAGAATAACACTAATGGATCATATGGCTAGCTCCATTCAAACGCATCCTCACACACACACACAAACTCTCTCTCTCTCTCTCTCTCTCTCTCTCACACACACACACACACACACACAGTTCTCTCCATCTTGCTAACCTCTTATATGAGATATAAGCTCCCTATTTATAATTTTTCAAAATAACTAAACTAGCCCCATTATGCTGATTAGGTAGTATTTTGATATTGTTAAATTGATGTGTCAATTCACCATTCATCAGTTTAGCCTTTCAGTTTAACCATTTATAACTATCTTCCATCATGGCGCTATGGTGATTTGGTGTTATTGGGCTTGATCTGCTGCTATGGCGGTTCATGGGTAAAGCATCAACGCTAAGCTTTGCAATGAATCTTGTGACTTATACTATTGTGATGCCAGTTTTGTGAAATTATAGTGTTGGGGGGAAATGTAGCGACGCGTTGTTGGATCAATGACACTTTGATGCTCCTTTAATTTTAAGATTTTTGTTTATTTTCTATATAAAAAAGATAAGATTAAAGAACATTTTTATAACAATAGATGCAATTTGGACTATACCATTTTTCTTTTTTCACTAAGTAATGGTCATAGTGACCATCCATGCAAGTGTGTATGTTAGAATTCAGAGTGGTCGTATGTGGTTACTAGTTGGCCCAAGCAAGGAAGCGGCCCCTCTCTCCACTCCAATTCACTATTTATTTTGAATTTAAATAAAGGGATGTCTCTCTTCAAGAGGTCTTATTTATTAAAAAAACTCCCTTTTCTTGAAATTTAGAATTAATTGGTGGCTTACATTATTTGGAAAGAAAAATCTAAGAAGTTTTACAACTTGTTATCCGATCAACCCAAGGGGATTGGTGATCCTCTTGAACTTCTACTTCATAGAGTAGAGTTTTAATTTTTTAATTTTTTTTTATTTTTAGCAATTTTTATGTCTATAATCTTTTATAATTGTGCTCTATTATTTGTACTCCATCCTAACATAATCCAAAATGACTTTCCTTCTCTCAAAATTCAAGTTAAAGCCCCATTACTAGAATTGGTATGAATTTCTAATTTTGTAAGACTAGTACCACACTAGCAAGTATTTAACTAACTAAAACCCCATTAAAAAAAAAAAAAACTAACTAAAACCCCATAAAACTTCGCCAAAATATTCATATATTTAGCAAAAATTTTATAATTTAATGAACCTAAATTTCTTTTTTATTATTTTAGTAAAAATTTTTGAGAATAAATTAGGCCTAATTATATTTCCAGTTTGTTATTACGCTTTTATAACTTATTTCTAATAATAATAAAAAAAGAATATTAAAAATACACAAAAAATTCAAATCTCTTAGATATTATCTTGGAAAATTCCTTCAACTATTCTAGCTGAAATTTCTAAATTCCATTTAATACATATAGAACTGTTACAAATTTTTCAACCTTTATCTTTTTTGGTCAGGACTAACCAATATGACTTCCAGAGCAAATTAGACCTATCAAACCCTTTACCTTCCTTACCAAAAATTTTGAATTAAAGTATACACCCTCTTTTAAAAAAATCAAATATAAATTCACTTAATTTGGAGTTCTAGAGAGATGAAAATTTATTAGGGAGAAAATTATGTTTCCAAGTCTGGACATATTATTAGAAGTCTTGGACAATCATCCAAAATCTATAAACTTAAACCCCCTACTTAAATTAACTCTAAAAAATTGAATCTTACTCTTCAAACTATGTTAAAAGAGTTTCACATATATCACTTGATCACATTAGTGACCTAAACCCCACCACTAACCCTCTTTGTTTTAATAGTTTATGATAATATTATGCAATGGTTAATACAATATATAAAAATAATATTTGAAAAATATTTAGCAAATCAATTAGTTTATATCTGTTATAACCATAAATAACTGTTAAAATTTTTTTTCTAAGTTGTTCTATAAATAGTACTATTATAAACAAACTCAAAAGTAGAAAGTTGCACTTCACAATTGCCTATATTTTTTTCCTATTAAGCACCATGGCATATTGCCTAAGGTTCTATTAATAATTTTTTTGACCATCTACTTCGAGATGAAATGTAGATTAAAAATTTAATTGTATTTCAAATTATTTTCATAGAATTTTAAAAATATGAAGCAATTCTAACATCGTTGCACGAAACTATTGTGGTTGGAAACCCATGTAGGTTAATAATAATTTTGAAGAAAAGTTTCGTTATATAGCAGCATCATTAGTTTTTAAGAAATGTAAAAAATGTGTATTTTTTAAGAAACTATCAACTACAACAAAAATACTATTATATAAGTGAGGAGTTCTTAGTAAAAATTAAAATGAGTCTCTTGAAAGGTCATCCTACAGTTGATAAAAGAATAGGAGAGTAGTATGCATGCTTGCCAGTATCATGCTTAGTTTTTTTTTTTTAAGTTTTAAAGTGGGACAAAGTGCAATAATATATTCAACGTCTCTTTTTATTTAGGGAAAAAAGAAAAAAAACTGATTTTATCGATTTAATGGCTTTATCCTGACCTAAGTAATCTACTATATCCCCCAAACAAAGCTCAATTCTTAGAAATTTTTAAAGAGAAGATCTTGAGATACAAAATTTATTCTCTCATTAAATATATTCATGAAGAATAAAAAGAGGATAACGAGAATATGAGATTTATTTGGGTGGTCATGATAAAGAAGACGAAAATCAGAGTTAGTAGTGTAGTCATCTTATATCCTTAAAAATTTAGGGATTCATAATTCTAAAGAGGAGATGGCTAAAATGATTTGTAATGAGGAATCAATAGCTTTATTCTCTAAATCTAATTTGTATTTCAAAATGAAATAACAGTCTTGTAGAAAATTAACAAATTTTGCATGCCCATGGTTAAGTTGTTTTGGGTTTTGGTGAACTCGAGGACATGATAGTCATATATGATTGATTATAGCTGCATCCATGGGTCCTACAAATTATTTAAGAACCACTTAAATAAATTATAATTTGGATCTATTTAAATTTATTTTAAAGGGGTGAAATTCTCTTGAGACATTGGATCACTTTGGAAAGAAAGGTTTAATTAGTTGCAGGATCAATCTAATGGTTATTTAAACTAAACTAAACTTTAATTAAAGGTTCCAAATGAATGGTTTTATCAATTTGATATTCAATAATTTATTAAAAGTTTTGGACAAGTTTCCCTTAAAGAAACAATACACATGAAGTTCAACTTAATGTTTTGTTAGAATTATTTCTTTCCATCCAAAGATATTATGAAATAAGAATAGGAATCATATTCTTGATGTGACCTTTAATAGGGGAAAACCAAGCTTGCAGGGTAGAGGAAATATCACTACCACTATTGAAATTATAATTATTAAACATTTCATTAAAATACCCCCAAACTTTAACAGCTATAGAGCCATTCACAAAAACTTGATTCAAAGATTTAATCTGATAGCAACATTGACATTTAGTAGGAATATAATTTTTTTTTCATCAAGAAAGCATTAATAGGAAGAAATTTATGTAATATTCTCCACAGTAAAGTAGAATAGGACATA